AAATAAATTATTTTGCCTAAATTATATGAACTATTATTTTATATGTGATGTGGACTTCAAAGGTGCCAAGCTTTTATATGTTGGGATTAAGGACTGTGTAGTTTCTCAGCCTCTTGAAGGCTCAGATCATGTGTGGTTTATACATGGTTTATAAGTGTCTTGACCATTTAAAATGATCCAAGTACTGTGTCGGTGGTGGTCTGAAACAATGGATATCACCATTTCATCTTTGCGTTCTGCCGTTTCTTTTAATAACGTCACCTGGGCTAGCTTCCGGGTTGTGATTTCTAGGCTGGCTTGTTTCTTGGCCAGTTCAAAATGTGTGGCCCTATGATTTGGCATGGACGTACTTAGGTCATAGTTCGGTTTCTGTCCCTTGTAACCCAATTTTAACAGCTAGATTTCTGACTACTCTTCATTTTCTGACTCTGTCTGTCACTCACCAGTTATCTCCAAAGCCATGAGATCCTTCTTAAGCCCTCCCTTTCTAAATCTCACCTGTTGCACTAATTACCAGTTGCTTGGGAAATTAGGCAAGCCTGGTGCTGTGGTACCTGTTACTTTGTGCTCTTTTCCCCACATATGGTTTCCTGCTGGTTCTTGAATTCACTTGCTATCTCTAATGCTATCCTAGATTATAAGGTCTTCAGGGAAAATGAGTTTGAAATGCCCAATACCAAGCACTGCAAGTATGCCCACAACCATTGGGTTGGAAAATGGTTTGGTATGCCCACCGTAAGCACTGCAACCATTGGTATGCCCAATGCCAAGCACTCAACATTGGTGAGAGCTTCCTAGGTAGCACCAGAAAATGCTTGGAAATTAGCAGCAACTACAAGAGCAACTCTTCAGCTATGTCAAGCAAAACGTATTCTTTGTCCTACAAGATGTACAGTCCAGGTTGGACTATACAAGAGGGAGGCAAGGGGCAACTGGTAAAGAAGGGAGTGGATGGATGATCAGGAGGAAAAAGTAAGGGTCAGTTTTGTATTTTGATCCACTTTGTGTTAAATGTGAGGTACTGCCTGAGTGTAGACCAGTGGACTATCCAAGTTGATCACGTTCAATGCTTTCTTGCAGGCCTCTTTCCCTGGGAACCTGCACTTGGTGATGGTTCTGCGCCCCACTGGGTTTTTCCAGCGCACTTTCACTGACATTGGCTTTCGTTTTAGTCAGGAGGATTTTCTTCTTAAATTACCGGTATGAATTTATCTGCATTATGTTCATATAGCCCTAAAAACTGACTTTGAATCATGTTGCTTGCTGAAGCTGTTTGGTATCTGCCTGGGGGGAAAGGGTAACCGGGGTATTTTTTTTAATATGCTGTTTAAAGACATCTCCATCATAATCTTTTTTTGGAAGGATTGGATTTTCATGCCTTGCTGGGAGAAATACATACAAATACATTTACTTTTCCTTGGAGTAGTATGTGGTCCATGCCTGTGGGGGCTGACTTGACAGCTTTGTACCCCATAGTTTGCTGTTCACAAGAAACACCATAATGAGAAGTGGAGTTACAAGCTTAATCATGCTGCTGCCCTCCATGAATCCACCCAGAGCTGCATGAACTTGTTCAGCAGGGTGACAGGGCAGTATTTAATACCAATTTAATGTTTAGCCCATGGTAAGTGGCACCCATTTGGAAAATATTTAATACCAATTTAATGTTTCTCACACGTGAAGTGGCACCCATTTTAGAAGTCTCTTATTGGTGCCATCTGTAGCCATCATTGTAAAGGTTTTTTTACTTATTTTTAGAAGAGTGATTTGAACCAGCTTGTTTTCTCAGCTGGACACATTTCAAGGACTTTCAACAATTGCAATTGTTGAGAGTCTCTGAAACGTAGCAAGTTAAGAACACAAATTGTTTTGAAATCATTGGGTCTTTACATCCTCGCAGAGCAGGACTTGTAGAACTTGAGGTGAGGACGCTTCATTACACGCTCACAAGATGTGTGAAGTGTTGCTCTTTTTTGCTCCAAAATAATTATATATATATATTTTTTTTGCACAGGATTTTTTACACTTTGCACTCCAAAAGGTTCTGCTTTCAATCAAAAAGAAAAACAAAATCAGCGCTTTTTGGAGAATTTGGTATTCTACCCCTGCAAAACCAGGGGTATGTTTTCCCCCCCATAAGACTTGCCCTACCCTGCAAAAAAATGCCACGGCTCCTTGCACACTAGCATTTAGGCTCTGACTCCATAGTCAGTTTCAGAGATGTGAACTCCTGCACTTGATCCATTTGATACTTCATTGGGGTTTTGCTGGAGTCCCTTCTGGATCCAGCTGCAGAATTGGGGCCTGTATAAGTGCGCATTTCCTTTTTGATGTCTTACAAAGGCATGCATTAACGTAACTTTATGCAGTGTGAACAGTCCCAGTAGTCCCCAGGAGCTCGCTCGCAGTGCATAAAATCAAGTCTGTGTCAAGTCATGGCAAGATTGCAGCCTCCAGCGACCTGTTTCAGACTGAGGCTTGTAGGCACGTGCTACTGAATTATAATTGAGATGAGACTGATTATATGGTGTTCACAAGAGTTATAATTAGAAGTCGGGTAAAAACCCAAATAGCCCAAATATTCCCTCCAGATTAGTCATTGCCTCTGTCACAGCTGCTGACCAACACTTTGGAATTCCAGTTACTAATTAGTAAGTGGAATTCACTTACTAATTGGCATGTCCAATCAGAGATTGCAAATGGAAATCATTCTTTTTGCCCCTAAACCTCACTGAAGGGTGGGTAAAGTGTCCCTCTTACCCCTTTGTGAAACCCGTCGTCTGCACTCAACACTACCCAGGCCTAATGGCCGTTGCTCAACGTGGTCTGGCTCAAAGAAGGTTGGATCAACCCATGTTAAGCCAACCCAAATGGAGGATTTTTAAATATAAGTTTAAAATAGCGTGTATATTTTTAGCTTTTAATTGATATGTACAAATTCGACCAATGGCATAATCATAAAATAAAGACACCTTAATGGGGTCAAAACCATTGTTCATAAATAATGTGTTTCAGACTTGATGTGCACATTCCTTGTGATGAAGCTGCGATGACCAATTAATGGTGTCCCCTTGTTCCTAGGTGGTTATGCTGAGTTCAGTTAGCGATTTGTTGACGTATATTGATGAAAAGCAGCTAACACCAGAGTTCGGGGGCACCTTGGAGTACTGCCATAGCGAATGGGTTATCTTCCGAACTGTATGTAGCTTTCTTTACATCATGTTACCAATGATATGTATAGCATATAGCCCATGGGACTTGCTTCTAGAGTGCCAGGAGCTTCAGCCTCTGCCAAATATCTCTTTGGAGGTAATGGGCACCCTCATCTCCCTCATTAGGGAGTGCCCTGCAAGGCAAATCCCTTAATGTGGCTAAAATAGGATTTTCAAGGACTCCTAAGGGATCCTACTGAATATCCATGGGAATTGGGCAGGTGAAAATGCCTAGTGAAAATTCCTGCCATAAAATTGTTCATAGCACAGGCCAAAATCATCTCTTTTTCATCACATTTGCTTTACCAGGTGAATATTGTGGGATTTTTTTTTCTGTGCATGTGGATGAAATAAATTAAATACCTGTGTGTCTTCTTTGCAAGCACTGTGCCCTTTCCTACTGCCAGGGCTTTGCATGGAGTGGGCTTCTTGATTTAACTATATCCTACCAAAAGTTTCCATACATGCAACAGCTTGAGCGTTCATTGGACTTGCAGCTCACAGAGCAATGGCAGGCTGGATTCCTCTCCAGATAGCTGTAAACATTAATGAAAGTCTTGCCATATTTTGGCTTTGGGGTCCTGTCCAGTAATGCTGTCCACAGATGTCTGTGTCTTCCTGGATCTCAGTATAGGATGCGTGTGTCTCTCGTTCTGAACCTGGCCAAGGCTAACAGTAAGAATCAGCGAGAATATCTTTTTGTTTAACCATGCAATGCACTGAACAGATTGGAAAACACATGGACAAGACCAGGCGGAGAAGGCAGGAAAATGTCAAGAGAAATGTTCAACCCAGATTTATTTGACAGCTTCAGTTTTAGTATCATGCAAAGAATGAAATACATTTAATTCCCAGCTATGCTGAAGCTAATGCCAAAAATTGCATTTGAATCTTCCACTGGGATCAGCAGGGACCTCTTTGAGTACTGGATCAAAACCAAGGATCTGAAATCGGCTTACAGCCCAGGACCAAAACCAACCTCTGTTATTGCTCAGGGCAATGGTTTGTATGGTGAAGAATGCAACAGGGTTTTGTCACCGTGCTGAGGCATTTCAGGACAGCAAAGACTCTGGGACGAGATAGACCTTGATAGCAGAGAATGACCTATACGCCAGGACCTCTTCACAAGCAACCAAGAAGATGCCCGTGTGGACTTTACCCCAGTAAGTAACTTTTTCTTCACTTATTAAACTTGGGTTTTTTTATTTTTTAAAAGTAATTGGGGCTGCCTCATAAGACATGCATTTCCCTGGAAGCCAGCAAGGTGGGTAGACACAGGTTTTCTGAGGTCTGGCTTTGCCCTCATCCAAATATGAGCCGCATCTACTGATCTGTTCAGAATCTACCTTGCTGTGAGCATTTAACATTTCTTTGCTCTTGGCTGCCACTAGACTCTCCTTCTGCATCTTCCCAGGCTCCTGGCATGGCAACACCATCCTCTTCCCCTCCACACAAGTGCCTAAATAGTCAACGTCCATCCTCCCACCTTCACAAAGGAAAACTTTACTATAATAGTAATGTGGTTATTGAGTCCACTGCATTACTAAAATAGAAATGTGGTTATTGAGTACACTGCAACAATCCACCTATCGCCTGGTGTGCTGGGTGCCCTTTTTGAGGTTATAGCTTTCACTGCGTGTTACAAAGGGCATTTCAAAGCATTGTCTCAGCATAGTACCAGATATTCTCTAGGCATTATTTTTCTAGTACAAAGCATAGCTTTGCAGCAGCAAATAAATTCTGTGCATGAAATGCAGGACAGTACGTAGAGGTAATAAGGCGAGAGGCATAGGACATTGTTAATGATTAAGGCCCTTAACAAACACTGCAAAATTGCATATATTGAACAGTGAATTATGCATGTCTCACGGGGACCTAAAGGAGAATTTAAGGTACTGAATATGCTCTGTTATGGCACTGACATCACAAGGCAGAGCTGCCCTTGTCCCTCTTATGAACGGATAGCTGGATCCTTCCAATCCCACTGCATGTCCTTCAAGGCCATTTTGATAGCAGTGCCTATCTCATTGGGTTCCCTGTAGCCTTCTGTGCCAAGCTGTATCTCTGCCTCTGGGTCACTTGAAATCCTGACAACCCCTCCCTTATAAGGGTTGCCTATAGAGGGTCAAATGCAATTTCTAGCCTTCATCCTCAAACTCATCCCTCGCCCAAACCTACCATGCCCCTAGAAACCTTGCCCATCACTTCCATGGTTTGCAACCCAGTGCCACACTGCTCAGACCCTCAGAGCAGGCAGGCTCTTGCTGCTCACCTGCTCTAGGAGTACACAGCGTGATTTGAAGCAAGTGTCCAAGTAAGGTCAGAGATGACTTATGGCCTCCACCGTCTCTCAATACAGGGAAAGAGGCTGTGGGGATGGCATTTCCAAAGGGAGGCAAAAATGTTTTGTGTTTGGTGCCATTGAAACAGTGGCTGCCTGTTGCTTTTCTTACCTTCCGCAGGATCTGCCTCCTGAGCAGGCCAGACCTTTGCAGACTCGGACTTTATCTGGCCTAATGTCTGGCATATCTGAAGGGGAAGAAGAACAGAAGAGAAGAGGAAATGTCTTTGAAGAGCTCCTAAAAGCCTGATCCAAGTGAAGGCAAAAAGCTCATGAGTGGAGGACTAAAAAGAAAAAGCATGGAGAGGTGCTGCAGCTGGACCCTCATCTGACCAGAGAACTGGCCAAGCGGGGCTTTGCAAAGACCTGGGGACCTATGGAAAAGGACACGGAGAGACCGAGGCAACTTATGGAGGTCATGAAAACATGGGAAATGTGCTCCAGCAATGCTCACCCTTTTCCTCCTCTGTACTTGGGGCAGAAAATTGCTGCAAAGATTCCTGCCCACACTTGTTTCTTCCCACTGCAAATACTACAGCACCATTGCTTGCCCTATTTGAAACAATGGTCTCCACTAACTTCCATTTTATTTTCGATCCTAATGTTTGTACTTGCACATGGCTTCTCACAGCAAGAACTATTACATCTATTCGTACTCAAGGCGCGTAACAATAAAGGAGACTTTTATTCTGCGGTGATACCATTTTTTATCAAAGTTGCATCTTAAAATTATCATTAAAAATGCCATTTCTGCTCTGGAGCGTGAAGTTCTTGTCTTTAATACTCATTACATTTTCTGAGCCCTTAAAACCCAGCCATGCCCTTAGAACACAGCAGTGAAAATACAGTGCCCCTCTTTAAAATCATGGGAAATGTGGGTTGGAAGATACCTTAGGTTATCTAGTCCAACCCCCTGCTCAAAGCAGGACCATGCCCAGTTAGATCATTCAAGCCAGGGCTTTGTCAACCCAGGCCTTCAAAACCTCCAAGGGTGGAGAGTCCACCACCTCTAGGTAACTTGTTCCAGTGTTTTACCTAGGGAGAAAGTTTTTCCTAATATCCAACCTAAACTTCCCTTGCTGCAGCTTGAGCCCATTGCTCCTTGTCCTGTCATCTGCACCCACTGAGAAAAGTCCAGCTCCAACCTCTTTGCAGCCCCCCTGCAGGGAGTTGAAAGCTGTTATTAAATCTCCCCTTGGTCTTCTCTTTTGCAGACTAAATCAGCCCAGTTCCCTTAGCCTCTCCTCACAAGTTGTGTCCTGGCCCCCAAACCATTTTTGTTGCCCTCCGCTGGACTCTCTCCAATGTGCCCAAATCCTTTCCGTAGCTGGGGGTCCAAAACTGGGCACAGGACTCCAGATGCAGTCCCCCCCCCTGTTGAATAGAAGAATCATGTCCCTTGATCTGCTGGCAGCGCTCCTACCAATGCAGCCCAGGATGCCGTTAGCCTTCTTGGCATCAAGGACACACTGCTGACTTTATGCAGCTTCTTGTCCAGCGTCACCCCCAGGTCCTTTTCTGCAGAGCTGCTGCCCAGCCAGACAGCCCCCAGCTTCATCCTTCATGAAGCTTCCTTGATATAGTCCTGAACTGTGCTATTTTTTATACAGCTTGTGAAATAATCCATTAATTCTTCACAAGCTGTTTTCTATCTTTGTATAAGCCCTAAGGCTAACATAGCCATGTGGTTCCTGAGGTTTGAGTTGATTTTTTTTCCTTTCTTCTTTGATGCAGCCCCTCTCCTCAAAGAGGACAAAGCTGCCCTGTTTGCAGACCTCTGGCAGTGGTCCTGGCTTCTCGGAGCACTTTGAAAGTCTCTGATTTGCCCCTTTCAGCCTTTTTTTCCCTGTTGCTCACATGACATCATGCTATGCCTACCGTGCTGCTATATGATATGCGGCCAGCATTGCTCATCAGCCTCTAGCCCTGTGAAGAGATGGCCCTGTCTTGCTTTCGGCGTCCCTGATCATGCTCCACTGTTGTTCTGCAGCTGCTTAGAGGATTGCTCCTTTCTATGAGCCGAGTGTCCAGCAAAATGCTTCATCAGCTGAAAGTAAACTGCATAGATTCATAGATTCATAGATTAAGGGTCGGAAGATCATGTGCCAGAGCAATGTGGGGAAAGGTGCCGCTGCTGATCTCTGCGCTGACTGAGGCAGCAAATCTCCTTTTTAAAGAACTTGCACCTTTTGTTCGATGAAAGGATCCTGCCATCATAAACCTTTCTGCCTTGACCTTGTCAAATCCAACATTCAGCTGGCCTTTGGGAGAACAAGAGACATATCCCCTTGTTATTCATGAGCTCATGGAAGATGCGACAGGACAGCAAGGGGCAAAAATAGAGGTACCATCAATAACCTTGATGTATTAGGGAAACCTTAGACCTGCAAGGCCATCAATGACTGGCAAGCCTTATACCACCTGCTGACATTCCCTACTTCATATCTGTGGACACCCCCTTCAGTACCTCCAATTGAGCTCCCCACCTCAAACTGGGTAGCTGCAGACTAGGCCCAGTAAGCTGCAAACATGTGCTGCGCACCTGCTTTGGAGGACTTAGGAGACAGCTCTCATTTTGGGGTATTAATCCTGTAATCAAACCCATCTCCCTCAGCTGTTTCATATTTGGGAAGACCAGCCTGGTGGCATGGTAGCAGTTTGCAAATGGTGCTGAGTATCTAAAAAAAAAGAAAAAAAAAGAAAAGATGTATCGTGGTGATAAAAGGGAAATGCTGGGAATTTGGAAGTTCAAAGGCAGTTCCACAATTTCATTTGCTTCTAGCTGGCTTCTGATACGTACATCTCAATGGGATGCAAGGGAGGAAAAAAAGATCCCACAATGCATAAGGCCAAGTAAAAGGGGCAAGAAAGGAGCAAGCAATATTTGCTCCTAGTACTGAGTGTTTAGCATGGAAAAAATCCCCATTGTGTGCAGAGGCATAGCAAGCTCTTTCAGTGTCTTGGGAGGGGGAAGTGATGCCAACTACCAGAAAGTTAGGGAGAGGGATAGGGTCTCCCTTTGTAGCAGCACAGGGGACAGATGGTGGTGTGGGCTCCCCGGGGGCTGCTTCTGAAGTCCCATTTGCCTTCAGTCCACCCCCTTCACATCAGGGACAGGGCCATACCTCCCATGATGGACAGATGGACAGACACACACATGTGCACACACTGATGGGCACGGGGCTGCACCTACCACAGCCAAGATCCCCAGGGGGAGGTGGGGGCCATGCTGACACCCCCTCTATGTTGGCACCTGTAGCTGGTACTCACTCGCTCACCTGCCCTGCCTGTATAGAAGTAGACTTGTACTTTCATCTGAGCCAGCTCGCCACACACCCATAGTCTCAGAGTACTATTTCAGGCACAACAGCTAGTGTGTCACAGGTTAGTGCAAACTGCCCTTTCCAAGTGTGTAAGCAAGCTTTTGGGCTCTCTTGAAATTTTCAGCCTTGGCCCTTGATGGGTTTTTTGTAAGCTCGTCGAGTCTTCCGAATGCCGGGTTGATTGCAGTCGTTATTTCCCATCAGGCCATCGAGAGCTTTGCACTAACAGTGAAGGATATTGCACAGATGTTACAGTCGTTCGGGACGGAGCTGGCAGAAACCGAGCTGCCAGATGACGTGTACTCCATTGAACACATCCTGGCGCTGCGCACGGAAAAATACTGCCAGCTCAAGGTGGGTCTGAGTGGAAACTCTCAGTCACTTCTCCCACGCCAGGTAGGACTTCTGAGGTCGGATTGACTGTTTGCTCTGTCTGCCTCGCACTCCTCCTTCCCCCATATGTATGTGGCTGTGCCAGCAGATGACGTGAAGTGCAGTAGGGCTATTTCTGTATGTTATGCTTGTATTCTCCTTTCACTCATTCAAAGAACTAGCGTGCCAACATCCAGCAAACTGTTTCAGCTCCCAGCTGCTTATCGGATAGCGGTGTTAAGAGCCAAGTTTGGTATCACTCCAAAAGAGGTCTTATTTTTCCTTGACTCTATGTTGCACGCTTGTCCTACATCGTGGTTTCCGGGGATGGATTATGGAAGGACTATGTCAGCTCCAAAGGGCAACACTTTTCTTGTAGGTCTGTGCATCTTCCACCGATGAATGCCAAGCCCCGGCGTGTGCCTGTCTCTAATGGGTGGCAATAGGAGTTTTATGCAGAGGAGAACAGAAGTAGTGTGGGAGATCCAAGAAGATCTTTTTGCTTCAGGATTTTGTACGTCTCAAAGCTATTATGGTCTAGTCTGCAAATCTTTGCAGGCCTTATGGGTCAAATTCTGGTTTCTCACCAGCTCTACCCTAGTGATTTTTTTATGAAAGTTGCATTAGTTGGAGAGGCTGATTGAGATACCTAATATATGGTGGGCAAAATGACTGTATCTTAACAAGACTCCCCATATCGTATAGAAACCAACATGTGTTTCTTTAGTATTTAAAGCTATTTTTTAAATGATTTGAGATTGTGATATAAAAATTAAATTTGACAAGGGTTTTTGGTACCAGTGTCTGGCACAACCAAGCTATCATCTTTGCCGCTGAATGTTTCTATGGACAGAACAGATCTTGAAGCCTTGTACGTTTATGCGGACAGTTCATGCAGTCAGTAGGGCTTCTGATGAGGGAGGGCTGTGAGACTGGATCCTGTGTTTGCAATGGGAGATGCAGGGTTAATCCAAAAGTTTATATATTTCATTGATTGCATCTTGCCATTTCCAGGTTATGGTCTTTTGAGGATACTGTATGCATGCATTTATATATGCGTGTGTGTGTGTACATATGTATGTACCCACATGGAGTATATTTTGTATTTTTTATATTTCTTGGTGGCAGCATATACATATATAATACATGCATCCATGCACACAAACTCGGACACAGAGAACAGAACTGCCTTTTTTAAAATATAACACGCCAGCGACTATATTGTTCCATGTTTGATTTAACCTTTGTGCTCAGGAATAAATCCGAAGGCAGTGAAGCAAATATCAGTCACTAATGTCATACTGAAGATAAGATACTAAATATAGATAGGTCAGCAATACCCACTGTTGTCTGTGGGGAAGTCAAACATATCCTGGCTATAAAGCATGGCACTGCTCCATCATTCATTTGGTCTAAGTCAGCTGTTTTTTTTTAGCATCTCATGCATTGCTTTTAAATATCAAAATATTCTTTGGTTTGTGAACAGAATATGGCCTGTTTCCCCACCCGTCCCACCCGTCAAGAATAGGAAAGATTAAACTAGAAGAGAAACTGTGCACAGATTGCTACAACAATGACATGAGATTCTTGCATTGCTCTCATGGCAACCAGCAGATTGGTGCCATAGCTTCCTGAATATGTGGACGAATTATCACATGCGGTAGATCCAAGCTGTTTTGTAGCTGTGATACTGAACAGAAATCACAGAAGATATGCAAAAAACAAAAAGACCAGAAGCTAATTAAACAGAATAACTAAGAACTTAACCCTTTTGTTGCACTGAAAAGAAAAATATCAGATTGCCATCTGTCCAACAGTTCTTGACAGTTGGATTACGGTATCTTCCCGGGTGACAAATGCTCCAGAATCAAAAGGAGGATTTAGTGGTTTTTTGGAGAGCAAAACGTGGCAAAATAAAATAGCAGCCACCTGTGGCTGAGAGCATAATTCTCGTTTCCTTTTGCATCCTCCGTGATGCTGCCTTGTCACAAAATGGATGTGATTTTTGTCCTTATATCATCCTTCATCGCAATTGGATTGATACAAATGCTGTCTAACAATTTGCACCTCGAGTGTGGAGGGAATGCAAGGCGGTGCATGTAGCACTGCTGATTGTGGTGTTTTAACATAGGGAGACTGGCTGCAACGCAGATGCATGTGCCTGTCCCTCCAGTAAAGAAATGAGTCCTTTCCAGTATTTGAACTCCCTCACTGTTAAACTGGTAGATGTCTCAGAGGCAGTGAGACCCTGGCCACACCTAAGGGTTGGGTTTTGAGGTGCTGGTACTTAGGAAATCCAGAGGTTTCTGGCTGGAGGGTCTTGCTCTTCTGGTCCGGGTTAGAGCAATCACCAAATTTGGGGTCAGGAAGGATTTTTTTTATTTTTACCCCCTAAGCCAGATTGGCACAGACCATGGAAACTTTTGGCTGTATCTGTAGTATGAAACAAGGGCCTTTCCCTACATCATTGCAGTGGCAGGACATCAACCTTGCCCCCATCTCCCCTTCTTTTACCTACTGCACGCTGGCGGGTGGGTTTGGGGTTTTACGCCAGGTGGTTGAATAAGGGTTTGTTGTGGTGACTTGGAAGATTTAATAATTGCCCAATTAGCCCAGGAGGCTCAGCCCAGTTCCGAGTTCCCTTTAATCTGGGCATGTGTATTTTGCCAGGAGGAATAGCTCCTCTCCTGCCTTCAGCCTGATCCGGGCACTCTTCCTATTGAAAGAAGAAGTATCAAGAGGCTGGGTGCTATACGCCCTTGCAATGATCTCAACTCCCCACCTCGGACTTTACCGACCTCTTATTCTCTTTGCTCTTTTGCTTCTTGTCACGTCCCGTACAGCCCACTTGACCAGTCCCATCTGGTTTCGACTCTGAGCCTGACTCCCTCCTCTCTGCTGGCCTCTTGCCTTCTGGAAATAAATACAACTTTTGCTCTTGGGCTGGGTCCAGCTCAGAATGAGATTATTTATATTTAATCTGATGCCAACAGATTGCCAAGGCTGAAAGTTTAGTTTTTAACCCACGTCGGATGAGTTCATAACAAAACGGTGGACAGACCCATAATGACAGGGGCTCTTGTAAGCGGGATCAGGCCATTTCTGCACACACTCGTGTCACCTGTGAATGTTTTGTGCCCTATGATACAATATGCTACTTAGGGCACTTACATTAGGACACTGGCTGATGAGACACAGCCAGTATATGACTTTAATTTTGCTTTCCGGGCAAGGGGTTTCAAAGCACTTTGCAAGCATTGATTGGCATAACCTTACTTCTCCTGTATGAGCTCGGCCTAGTAGGTGTTAGTGTTCCTGTTGTACAAATGGGCAAACTGAGACATGGAAAAAGGCTTTCCCTTAAACCATACAGTTGATCACTGCCAATGCACTAATCAGAAGCACTTTGCCTTGTACAGGAAGATATCATGATGGTAACAAAAGAAGGAAACACGCTGTTAAGTAGCTTAGAAGAGCCTGACAGCAACGAGCTGAGTCCGGAAGAGCACCGTGAGAGACCCGGGGACTGGGAGACCGTGAATCGGTGAGTGCAGAGTCTACATGTTTCATTGACTTGAAATGGGAACTTACACGATATTAAGGTTTAAGATATTACGGTTTAAGAATACCTGGTTGATAGAAGAAAAGGGAAGGTCATAACAAGGAAGACCATAACAATTCTGCTCCTTTTCTGTTTCTGCCACCAAATGCCTGTCAGACCTTTGGTCCATGCCTTAACCTTGCTGTGTCCTTGTTTGTCCATTTGTAAAATGGGATGGGGATACACTTGGAGCCTTCAGAGACCAGGCTCTTGGATGCCATCGATTAGAGAGATAAGACAGAGAAGTGTTGTCACCTTTAAGATCTGCATGAGCCTCTATCTACATGCTGGAAATTAGCTCGGGGCTTAAAGTCCAGGTCCCAAATCTCCTAACTTAGGCAAGTTGATCTCTGAGTCCCTGCTTCTCAGGGGGTCTGGGGGGCTTGCACTCTGCTTGTCTTGGATTTGCCTGCTCTTTTCTGTCTTACCGTTGTCTGTTGCTGTTTAGGTTACTTGCTCAGTTGCACGAGATGGAAACTGCTTTTGATGGATTCTGGGAAAAGCACCAGTTAAAAATGGAGCAGTATCTACAGCTGTGGAAGTTTGAACAAAGCTTTCAAGAGGTATGATGAGACGGTACCTTCCCCTGACACTCGTGGAGGCAACCAAAGAGATTGCAGGCATTGTGCTTAGGATTGCCAGAGCGGGGTGTATTGGGACTTTTTTTAAGTCAAACTTCCTTGCACTGCCACTTTGTCTCCCTGAGCAATCTTAACTACAGTTTGATTGGCTTTAGATCAGAGAGGAGTGCTATGCTTATCATCATTATCAGTTTGCAACAGCTGTCTTTATATTTTTAGGTCAAGAATGCTATTGAATTTTTAATGGACCGGCAAGCAGACCTGCCTGATACTGGAGATAGCGTCTCTCAAGTAAAAGAAAGGCTCAAAGACTTGGGCAGTTTAGATGATATGGCTCAGGTGAGATAACCTTTCAAATGATAGATCTACCAATGAAACCCAATAAGCCCTCCTTTAACAAGAGGTAGAGCGTGTTCCCAGAAATGGCCTTGCTCTCTTGTAACTTGGCAGGCAGTAGCTGAGTGTATGGATTTCACTCATCTTTTACCTCTGGAGAGCATCATTCAGATCACATGAAAAACCTCGTGACAACACATTTGGCTATTCTTATTTTAACTAAGTTGCCAACTGGACATAAAATCCAGAACAGGCAAATTTCTTTGCCTAGAGCAGGCTGAGGGTAGGGGCTGGACATGGGGCAGAATGATTTATGCAATCATTTGGCAATGAAGCTTGCAGATAAGTCAAAAAGCAAGACAAGGCCCTGTCCCAAGGTGCATGTGTGGGTGAAGACATGGAAAGGCAATGACAAGAACCGTGATGAAAATGTTGAAATCTATTTTTCGCATTTTTATTTTTTGTATGTGGAAGGGAACCTACAGGAGTTGGGTATATAACTCCCTTAGGTTCCTTGAGAAATCCCAGCAATGGTTAATTCAGCATAGTGGGGAAGTCTGGGGTTTATCCACCATTTGAAAGAAGACTGTTCTGAAATGGGAGCTTGAAGAAGGGCTGCAGGGAAACAAACAGGGCACGAAGGAGAAAGGTTCCCGGTGTCGGGTCAAGATGAGAAAAGACGCAACCATTGCTTTGGCCTAGTTGAGGGTAGAAGGTTACACATCGAACTGGGCCACAGATGCAGTGCTTAATTCCTCCTCGGTGCAATCATCAATGAAATGATGGCATCATACCCCAGGCCATCTTGGCATGGGCCCAGCTGTGTGGGTGAACCAACCTGTTGCAGTGATTCTCTTGTTTTCTTTTGAATGAGAAAAACACATTACAAAGCTGTCCTCCCAGGTTGGCAGCACCCTGTTTCTAAAGGTACAGGCTGAATGCAGAACTGGGCTGACCACTTCACATGGTATGTATTTCCTTGCATCTTCTGCTAACAGTGGGTGATACCAGATGACGCTTTTAGATGCACATTACCATTTGTCAGGTGTTGCCCCATTGTGCACTGGGTGGCATCCTTAAAACCAGGCTCGAATCCTTCTCTTTCCCTTCTCTTTGTGAAAGGAGCTGATCGGTAAAGCCCAGGTGATAATCCTGCATGGACACCAACTAGCAGCCAGTCACCATTATGCACTGAACCTGATTTGCCAGCAATGCAATGAGTTGCGGCACCTTTCCGACGTCGTGTCCGATGAGCTCAAGAGGAAGCACGCCTGGCTCCAGAAGACCTTGGAGCTACACATCCACCTGCAGCAGGTAATAATCAGAAGTGCCATGCCCCAGCCCAAAGCAAGGACAGCACAGCATGTGGATGTTCCATAGCGATGGCCCCTTAGCCAGAAGCAAACTGTATGAAACCCAGGTCTTGCAGAAACAGCATTCTGCTTTAGTAACTCGCGTTTGCTGTGCGGGCCTCTGTCCTGTAATGGCTGATTCCCATAAAGGGTCAAAAACCTCCTGTGAGCGCCGGCGAAGGGACTGAAGCTTGCAAGCTCAGACAATTGAGTCCTTATGATGTTAGTGTCAAAGACCCTGGTGTAGACTCAAGAAGGATGAATTTTGCTTGCCTCTGCTCTGAGTGCGTGTGCCTGGGTGTACATGCACGTGCATTTGTGAGGGTGCTTTGGCACCCCTCCCTTTCAGTCGTTCCCCATGTGGTCCCCACACCAGGTTCCTGCTTTTCTGAGGACCTGGAAAACTAGCTTTGAATCTCATTACAGGGATAGGAGAGAAAACGGGTTCCCTCCTCCTCTCATAGCTAGATCGCTTGAGATCCAGATAACTGAAACAGCTGTTGCACAGCGCAGATGTTTGAGTTACACCTCCTCAAGGACCAAGGCATTATTGAACCTTTTTCAAACACCTGCCCAAACAGGGTGGCCTTGCTGTGCTCATGAAAAACCAAAAAATCCAGACTCTTTCACACCAAAGTGGAGGAGGACATCCCAGGAGACGGGATGTCCACATAAAACATGCTCTGCCAGCATCTGTCTTCTGTCTTTTAATCCAGGGAGTTCCAGCTGGGCTGTGTCCCCATGGCAGGATGCCACGCTCTCATGCAGATTGGGTTTCCAGCATACACTGCAAAAGGCAGGTCTTTGGCATGGAGTAAAATGTAGGAAACCAGACTACCCTGCCGCTTCTGCCTCTGACCATCTCACAGCAGCTGGGGATGGGGTCCCAGCAGTTCCCCAGGAGTGCAGTATCCAAAATTGAGCGTAACACCATCAATGTTCTTCACTGTTACCCAGACTTAGGTTCAGCCTGTGAGCTCTCATCCATGCCACCAGCTATACCAAGCTGTACCAAGTAAGGCATTCACCTGTGCCAGCTAGATCTGATGAGGAAAAGAGAGATGCATAACTGGGTATTGCCTCCTTGCTTATCCTACCAAGGGTTTTATATTCACATTGAACAAGTGGAGGAGAGGATGGAGCTCTTTGGCACCCCATTTGCTTTTACTAGTATTAGGTTGCAATAAAGTTCAATAATTGAAGTGGCCAGCGCCCCCAAAGCACGGTTTTTGTGTCATTACAAAACAGTAATTACGGTTAACCATGACATTAGTTATGCAACCATGAGATGGTAGCTTCCCTAGGAGGCTTTTAGATTCAATGGAGTGAAGAAACCATTTACAGATGAAGTCCGGCTTGTTCTCACTGTCACTACTTCGTAGAGATGGGACATAATTGATCGTAAAATAAAATGACTGGTTGGCGGGTAATCCTGCCCAGAAGTGGAGTCGTGTGGCTGCAGAGCTCTTCGGTATCATAATTAACACTGACGATTCAGTCGGGGGTAATCATGGTGCTTAAGCTAGAAGGCATGTGGCTGATGTGAGCTTAGAGTCAACGGCAACAGGTTTGTCACCCATCCATTCTTTCTTAGCGGGTACCACACTTTTCACTTAAGCAGCCCTTGTTTTTTCAACCGTGTGCTCTACTGTACCACTCATCTGGCTGGACACAGAGTTATATAGAACCATAGGAGCGACCAGGTCACTTCAATGGCCCATCTAGCCTGATGCCCTGTCCCACCTACGGCCCTTACCAGTTGCTTTGGATGCAGGGCTTGACCCCTTGAAGAGTAACAGGCCTGCAATGCAAGTTCCTTGCTAGCCCATCAGTTAGATCTTGATCCGGCCCTCATTAAACATGAGGTTTAATATTCCTGCCAAGCTGTTTTCCGAATCCTTATGAATGTGACTAATGAGAATGTCTGGTTTTCCCCAACCACATAATAGTGAATTCTTTAAAAAAATGCTTTTCCTTCTTGATTTGCAATCTCATCTCACAGCGATGAGTCCCACAGTCTAGCTGTGCTAATGATTGGGACTTTCAGCAATTAATGGTGTACTTTGCCACTTCCGTTCTCAGAGTGAGATAAATCATGCTGCGGTGCATGGTGGATCTTCCGACTGCATCATGCTGCTTTAATTTTCCAACCACTGAATTGGTGCTACTGGAAGTACAAGGAGAATTGGAGATTTTCAGTGAATTTGTAATTTTCCAACCACTGAATTGGTGCTATTGGAAGTCAGAGGAGAATTTGGCTGGCTGCGCTAGGGGTCTAGTCATTCTCCAGAAAAATCAGGCTTTATTCCCCACTATTGAAATGCAGAAGAGTCGAGTAGATTTCTGATGTGGCTAATTAGCTTTTGGTTGGTTTTTTTTTTCTCCAAATTCAAAAGGAAGTACCTGTGAATGCTAAATTTATTGGATGAAAATATTTTTCGTTTGTTCCTTGCTTCATCAGATGATTCAACTCCCCAATCTGTTTGATCTCCTTTGCTTCACTTCTATCAGGCTCTCCAGTGCTGTGATGAAGGAGCTTATCTTCTAGCCAATCAGCAAATGGATAAATGCCAATCTAAGGAAGGCGCCCAGAAAGCTCTTCAGGACATAGAAAAATTCCTCGAAAGCTCATCCCCTTATTTAAACTTTGACCCCCAAACTTTGCACTATGACTTCGAGTCCATTTTAACACCTGAACTCAAGGTAATGCCACCTCCAGTCCGCTTTTAAAAAAAAAATTAATGTTAATAAAAAAGCCAGCTTGCCATATTGCCAGCTTTTTAAGCATCTCTGTTACAGGGTGAAAGTGAAAAAAAAATAGTGCAGTTAGCTCACGGGAGTCTGTTTCTCTTCTTGCAGAGTCAAATACACTCGTGCCAGATCAAGCTTGAGAATGTGCGGAGTATGTTTGAGAATCGGCAAGCTTGCTTCAAAAAGCTGCTGGATAAACACGTGCGCCCTGTCCAGCTAGTAGCCCCCCGCCCCGAAAACCCACCAAGATCAAAATCACCATTGTTCTCCCCCAAACATGGTAAAATATTTCAAAGTTTCTGGTCTCTTAAAATGTTTATTTTTTGCTTCGTGCCACGAAGGAATAGGGCCAGCAAACCGCATCGTATGGTCCATGGGAAACAATCAGCCATATTAAATGTTCGTGAGTGCATTTATTGTCAATCAGGTTTAAGGTCTAATCTCATGACAACACTCAAAAACGTATGCTTGGAAGTCCCGTGTACAAGATCCCTATTGCGTGCGTTAGTCTCTCCCATGCTGGAACAGGTGCTATAGCATTGCAGGTGTTTTATAGTGATAAGTTGAGCTGAAGAAACACCCCAGGGATATTAAAAATACTGAACTCTAAAGTCATGAAGGCTTATGGTATTTTCCTTGCATCTATAGAAAGATTGGTTGAAGATGGGCACAGCAAATGCACAGAAACGGTAATGAAGCTTTTTCCTAGGCTTTTTTTAAGGGTTAGGCTGGTTTGGTCAGATTTAGTGATGTAACATTTATTTTCATCCATTGCTCGGATGGATATTGTACAACCTTCCCATGTAGCCCCACAGCCTGCAAGGCCAAACAAGGGTAGTGAATTAGGGAAAAATACAAGGACCTATCACAATTAGTGGCCATCTCCTCTACAGACCTAGAGTTACAATTGACAGGGATTTCGGTTGAGATTTTCTTCCAGAGGAGCCTAAGGAAACAAGGTGCCCAAATCCCACAGACATTCAAAGGGTGTTGGGCCCTTAAATCACTTAAACTCCTTTGAGAATTCCCGCTTAAACTGGGATGATGACACAGCATATTCATAGAGGGCCAATCCAACCTAAATGAGGACTGCAGGTGTTAAAATGTCCATCCTTAGCAAATGCGGTGTCCTGCCCTAAGCAGCTGTCCAAGGTAGCGTTCATCTATCATGGTCCAAGATTGCACTGAATTATCATCTATCCTGCAGTCAGTCTGCCTGCAGTTTGAACACGTAAGGAATTAATCATTTGTGATGCACCTTATTTTTCTGATAATCATATTTATCTTGATACTAGTCATGCTGGGGTAGAGCTTTACAGTCCTCAACCCTGTTATGCTAGGCATAGCCTATGCACAGATTGAGAAGGGTCTCTGCTTGGAACATTTTATGATTTAAACAGGGCAGTCATGGATGGGAAAGGAAACAGGGTAAGATTCAGGTGTAGTGACTTGCCCAATGTCACCCGTAGGCTCAGCACTAGGAACAAACCCCCCAGGTTCTTAACTCTTGGTTCGCAGTCCTGCTCATTAGGCCCTACTGCCTCTTGGACATCAGCCATCGGAAAATCTAGGTGGAATTTAAATATACCAAAATCAAAGCACGGTCCCTTTTTCCACACACTCCCTTCTCTGATCCGTAGAGATAGAAAAGTGATAGCGTGAATGCTTTGCTTTAAAGAAGGGAGACGTGGCGCCTGTCACCCTCTCCGCGGGCATTCATGGGACCGTCATCCATCTGGCTGGACTTGTTTGATGCATTTCCCCAAAACGTTTAACATTTTGCAAGTAAACGCAGTCGATCAATAGTGAAGTGCAGGTCTCCTCCATTAATCATAACCCTGAAAGACATGATCAAGCATCTGGGAATGCGCACGCCTGCAAGAGGTGAGAAGACAGAAGGCTCTTCTTTGGAGATATCATGCCAGAGCTCCTTTTAATAAGGCCTCAGTTTGACACAAAACATCAAAATGGCTTTAAGCCAACTGTTATGATGTATGGTTGCAAAGATTCATGCTGGGATGTACTGAGAGTGCTTTGAGTTACGCAGACGCTGCATCCTGGATGGAAATCATCCGACTTGCAAGCAGGAAGGGTTTTTTGTCCTCCTTTTGTTTCTTTCTTTCTTTAGAGGATGAGGACTTCCTCTTTTCATTTTTGTCCTGAAATAGCTGTTGTCATTCAGCTCTCATTTTAAAAGATTTCTTTGGGAAAACTATAAGCCATCAAATGTAGTGAAGCATATAGATGGTCCGCATGACAGTCACAGCCCGTAATTAAACTAAATTTGTGATGTTACCACCAAAGTCCCAGCTGCAGAAGTGAGGGCTGATCCAGAGAGATCCTGAGCTCCCTCCATGCCTATTAAAATCTCTTCCTGAAGTCAGCGAGTGATGAAACTGCTTGGTGCAATGCAGGTGGTGCTCCAATGTATAGGGCATGGAGTAAAATGTATAGAGCTTTTGCCTGGGTAAGGAAGATAGTTCTGCACACAGGAAGCTTGTGGATATGCAAATCTGTGCTTTATAGGTAGGGCTGAGGCACATCCACTTTAGAGTTACCTCTTAGGAAAGAAGCTTTTAAAATGTATCCAGCCTCCAATGAATCAATGCAAGGTGACATAAAGGCAAGGCAGCATGTCCAGCATATAGTGCAGGACAAAGGAGGGAGGAACAAGGGTAGTTTTCTCCTTACCTGTTTTGGTGGCAGCTGTCCCACAGCCTGTTAGTTCAGGCGTTCACCCCGGATCAGGTTAGTTTGCCCCTTATCATTGCGGGAGTCAAAAATGAAACTGAGTCACTCGGCATGGTCGCGTCCATGCGGATTCGGTTGTACCTGCTCACTTTGGTGACACAAATCAGTTTAACTGAGGATCTCCTGATGGTCCCACTGATGCAACCCATTGCAGAAGGAATGAGCCGTGCACTCTTCTCTTTTCCGGCTCGGGAACAGAACGGCTTACAAAGCTCCTTTCGGCTAGATCTGCGTACCGGCATAGCGCAGGTGTTGCCACAGGCAAAAGCTAAACGCAGTGTCCTACCGTGCACTAAGATTTAGTGTCTTTTGTCCTGATGTAGCTGTTAGAAGGCAGAAACAAGCCCAATGCGATTCCTGCTGTCCACATCGTGCTTACGTGGCTGGCTGGCTAGGAGAATAGTTTGGCATCTAGAACAAGTGTATGTGATATGGCAGCCACTGAGACATATGTAAGCCTGGAGTCCCACAAGGCCATTTTTGTTTTGGCTTTTCACTGCAGAAAGTCACTTTTGCAAGAGCACACTGAGTGTGCTCGCCTGAGCTTCCTGCACTCGACAGAGCCATTTGGGACTATGTCACAATGGGCCCTGCTTTGCATTCGAACGAAAGCTGGATAGAGACCAGCTAGAGAGTTGTTACACATTTTCAAGCACTAACTTGATAGCTGGCTAGTCTCTTTTTATAGCTGGATAGTTATTTTTATTATGCGATAATCACTTTGCCCACGTGGCTGGTTTAAATTTCTTACACAGTCAACCAGTTAATTGTGTAACAACCGCTTGACACGTGTGGCCTGTCTAAATTTATCATGCCCAGGAGTCCCACGGACAGCAGGATTGCATAGGAGAGCACAGGGCAGGATTAAGAGACTTGACCAGAGAACGAGGGACCTGAGCCTCAGCCCTTATCCTTGCTCCTGATGTTATTTATGCATTTTAACCAATGACTATTTAGTGGGGAAGGGCACCAAGGCCCCAAACCCACAGGGCTCTCTCCTTTCCCAGGCCACCAAGGTCCACTTCCTCTTGTTGCTGTCCTCAGTGCTGTCATGGGAGTGCCGTCCTTGCTGGCATTGTCTTTTTTTTCTCCAATGCCATGAAAAGGAACATTGAGCTGCAACTGCCGAAAACTCAGCACTGAAAATCGTCTCATTGACCTTTTTCCCCCAGCAGACATCTCACCAATAGGCAACACAGTTCCCCTGGTAAATGCCAACATTAATGACTGGCTTGCAAGGTTTTTCCACAGTAGGACCAAGCCACCCAGTGAGCCTTCCCTGCCTGCTCTCCTGGTGTGCAGGGCATTGGTGAAACAATAACGTGTCAGTTGCCCTTTTATTTTGGAATAGCGCCTTCTCACCGTATCTGTTTCCATTTCTTTGCATCAGTTTGTTTCCCCTGAATCTGTTGTTCATTGCTTCATAAAAGGTGCTTCTCCTCTATAAATACAATTGAAAACTGTACAGTGTCTAGAGACAGGTCCTTTTGGACTCATTTCTGCAGATACACATCTATTCCTATTGAAAGAGCTTTCATTAATTAGCTTTATTTTTGCATTGGCTTCCCTGTTCTTTCAGTTGTAAGTAATGTGGGTACTGCATGCCTTTGGAAGATTTGTTCTTTTTCATCATCTGTCTCAGAATCTCATACATCTCCATCTCCACCTGTATCACAGTGGCCTTTCATCTTTGGATTCGTGTGTGGTTCAGGCCAAACAGAGAGAAATCTCTCTTCTCATAAAAATCCTGTCCGGTCCCTGTCTCCCTAGGAACTGATCTGAATTTACTAAAGGGAGAGACTGACAGTATTGACTCCTTTTAATCATCAAGGATCACTGCAACCAATCATTTAACCTTGTGATATAAAGCATTGCAAATCTATAGGAATGACAAAATGATTTTTTTTTTCTCCCCCAAGCTTGAGGATGCCCAACACAGTAGAGTCTGGAGATGTTCATTAGTTTTGCTTGTGTGTTGTGTCAGTGCAAAGGGGTAGGCTGCTTCTTCCTTCAATTAGCATACCAAACGTATCCAATAATAAGCTGCAAAAAGCATAAGTTATTATAAGACTTCTTAGGAAAATTTTCTGTCTCTCATCCTTCATGCTACTGATTTTCAGATTCCCCTCTCACCAGAATGATTCAAACTTTTGGTTGCATCTGAAGCATATTGATCACATCCTAACCCTGACATTCAGCTTAAGGGGCTCTTACATGCATGAGGGAGCCTGCTCGAGCACAGAAATTGATGCAGTCCAGCAGCCTTGTGCATCACGTGTATCAGCCTCGCCGCGCGCCTCCATGCTGACAAGATGGTGCAAAGCGCTCTGAAATAAAACACATCTATGCGCTTTAGTTCAAAGTGCCCCGCCACCATTTTTTTGGTGCGGGGTTGCACGGTGATGCCAATGCACATGATGCACGGGTGCTTTTAATTAGTGTGGCTTGCTAATTAAAGTGCCCAGCACCACATCAGAAATGCATGTAAAATTGCCCAAAGCCATCAGATGGTGAGAACTGTCATAGCTGTTTGATATCCAGTGGACTTAGGTTAGCTTATAGTCACTGAGTATGAACAAGCATTGTAGGAGTATGAACAAGTTATGAACAAAGTTTTTAAAGTATAATCAGAGTGGTAGAAGCACAAACATGCGGGTCCAGAGGGATCTCAGGAGGGTCACATCTATCCAACCCCCTGCTCCAAGCAGGACCAGCCCGAGCTACATCATCCCAGCCAAGGCTTCATCTACTTGGGTCTTAAAAACCTCCAAGGATGGAGAGTCCACCACCTCTCTGAGTAGCCTGTTCCAGTGCTTTACTACCCTCCAGGTGTACTACCCTCTACTACCCCTATGTTACTTTTGATTTGTATAATTTCTTATCACTTGTAAAAGTTTAACTGATTTTGTCTGAATTACAATTTTCTCTGATTGGAAGGATGTTTCTTTGTGCCTGATTAGCTTTTAGTTTATATGCAAATGACTTGTTGCTTTCATTCTCTTTCTCATAACAACATTTTTGGTATCACTTGAAGATGTCTCTCTTGTCTCCCAATTAGATTTCATTCAGTTTGCCAGTAGCATTAATTAATTGATTATTTGCTCTGAACTTTTCAAGATTTTGCTCATGATTTATTTTTTTTAATTTCTTCCTGAAATGCTTCCTTGGCTGTAGCTATCCATTGTGTAATTGTACATTTTTCTACCCAAGGCGTGGATTTTAATTCAAGTTTGAAATTTTCATTTGATCTCTCTCTCCCTGGAAAGAAAACATCAAGAAAATCTCAAAGCTCTCGCAAGGTAAAAATTATTGGGAACCTGGAGATTTTCCATGCAAAGATTCCAAATGATTTTTTGGAATTTGGTTAAACGTAGATCCTGTTTTTAAGGGGATACATATATAATACATATATATGTAAGGGGATAAATATATAATACATATATATTTTTATGCACACAATCCCTGATGAACTCTTCCGATTGGACTGCTCGCATGCATAAAGTGCATAACTGAGAGCTTCCCTGGATTGAAGCCAAAAATTGCTTTTCCATACCACAGATATTGGTTTCCTAAATCTCAGCTTGGCATAGATAGAAATGACACAAGCTAAGATACCAAATCATGATATTTGGATTTGTTGCAGAGGGAGAGTAAAATTGACACATGCACACACCGGTTGTCACTAGGGAAGACTTGTAATATAGGGAAAAACTCTCATGGCTATTTGGATTTTTCTTACTAATTTTCCTTTCATCTTTATTGCAGAAAGCTGCATAAAGTTCATTTTTTAGGGATTTGAATTTTTAAATAATTTAACTTTGTAGTTTTTGTAATCCTGTTTCTAGGCTGTTATCGGAAAGTGAATATTAAAAAAAGAGGGAGAAAAGTTATCTTTTTAATAGCTGAATTAATATTGGACTATAATTTAATAGAAATAATTTGAATATTTATTATCAGTATATTACATGCAGTGGCAATTATTGCTACATTTGCCATTTAATGTAAATCCAGTATCACTGCTACTTTAATGTGCAGTCCTTTTATGCAGTTAGCAATTTATCTGGTTTTTCATATACTTCCTAATACTTGCTTTATACTTTATAATTACCTGTGGCTGTTATGAATTTATGGTAACTAATAATTTTGGTACCATTATATTACCATATCTCAATCATTCACCGTTCCTTACCTAAACCACTTATGAAATACTAGGAAATTCAAGAATACTTGTCACTGGGTGCGTCTACATGTACGGATCTACTGCGCAGTCACCAAAATTACTGCGCATTAACTAAAAATTGCTGTGCAGTATGAGTGGCATCTACATGTGCATGCCCATACTGCACGGTAAATATGGTGACTTATGCCGACTTGGGTATAAATTTGATAGGTGCATCATGCAGATATCAAATTTTAGTTACTGCGCAGTAACACACATATAGACGCCTTACTGCGCAGTAACAGTGTGTGGGTGGACCGACTTGGGACTAACTTTAGTCTTGAGTCGATCCACACACAGTGTTACTACGCTGTCGTGGGGCACTCCCGCACCCCACTCCTAAGGAGGCTCAACCACGGGAAGGGGAGAGGTGTAGCCAGGCACCAGGGTGCCTGCTACTGGCAGTGGTAGTATGGGTCGAGCTGCCAATCACCAGGGCAGCTCAGGTGTGGGTTGCTGGAGCAACCAGGTTGGTCACGTGACCAGAAGGGGGCAGGGCTGGGCCCTTATAAACAGCCAGGCCGGAGCCTGACTGGCAGTTCCCTTCGGGTAGCCTGGGGGTAAGAGCTCTGCAGGAGGGCTTACT